ATCATAAAGCAGGTACAAGATATTTTACATTCACAGAGGTATGATATAGTACCATCCTACATCAATAATACTACAATCAGTTTTGATTTGAAATTTACTTTGTCTGCAAATAAGATTGCTACCCCTGTTTTTTTCTGAGCTCCTGTCACATGGAGAATTGTTTTCTATCTTTTCACTTTCAGTCTATGGGCTTCTTTTTGCAGTAGGTGTGTTTCTTGTATACAACATATTGTTGGATTTTGCTTCTTATTCCATTCTGCCAGTCTGTTTCTCTTGATTGGTGAGTTGAGGCCATTGACATTGCTGGTTATAACTGATATGTACTGACTTATTATTGACATGTTATTGGCCTTTTGTTGACTCTTTTTACTTTTTCACCTTCTCCTTTTAATTTCTTGCCTTGCCTACTTGATTTGCTCTGTTGGGCCTCAAGGTGTTGTTGCCTTCATTGTCTTTTTCTAGGATCTTGTTTAGAATTCCTTGTAGTGCTGGTTTGGTATTCATGTAGTTTCTCAGGTGTTCTTTGTCATGGAAGTGTCTTATTTCCCCATCCATTTTGAAAGAAAGTTTTGCTGGATACATCAGTCTAGGTTGGAGGTTGTTCTCTTTTAGAACTTGAAATATCTTTCCAGGCTCTCCTTGCCCCAAGGATTTGTGTTGAAAAGTCTGCTGTGATTCTGATGGACTTTCCTTTGTATGTTATTTGTTTCTTTTCTCTTACTGCTTGTAGTATTTTGTTCTTCTGTTGGGTTTCTGGGATCTTGATTATTATATGTCTAGGTGTAGAATTTTTTTTGATTGTAGCTAGTTGGGATCCTATATGCCTCAGTTATCTGAATGTCAAATTCTTCCCTTCTGTTTGGGAAGTTTTCTGTCCCTAATTCTGTGAACAGCTTTTTTAAGTCATTTGTATTTTCTTCTGCTACTTCATGGGTTCCTATCAGTCTTATTTTATTCTTTTTTGCATCATCTAGGAGTTGTTGGATCAATTTCTCATGATCTCTTACTGTTTTTAAGAGACCTCTCTTTTCATGGTCACTGACTGCAATCTTATCTTCTATATCTGAGAGTCTATCTTCGCATTCTTTTATTCTGTTGCGTACACTTTCAATAGAGTGTTTAATCTCTGGATATCTGAATCTGTTGTATGGATTCCATTTCTTTCCTATGTTGGGCATTTATTTTTTCCATTTCTTATGCTGGGCCTTCATGGCTTCTATCATGGTCCTGAGCTCATCTATTTTTTTGTCAGTTTCTGCTCTAGAGTCTTGAATCACGACTTCCCTTTTGCTCACTATCTCTATGGTTATCTGGGAAATTATTTCTGTTTTGAATTTTTCTAGAGCCTGATCGATCTGTTTTGTTACTTCCTGTGCTTTGAGTTCAGGGTGTCCTGGTGGTTCACTATCAGCCTTTTCATCCTCCTTTGCCCTACTTTTGCCATTGGTGAACTGGAAGTCTGTCCTTGTATCTTGCTTAAGTGTTTTCTCATTTTAATTTTTGTTGTCGGACTGTCCTTGGTTGAATCTCTGTATTATCGCCCAAATCTTCCTGATATAGTTGCACCCTAGCTTCTGTGTCTCTAATGACCCACAGACATTCTCATCTTCATAACATCAGAAAAAACAGCTCATCAAATCAACCGCAATGCTTTATCCCAACTGATACAATCAGCAACACATTAAGATCAAGCACAACTTTGACACTGACCACCGGTGGTAGTGACTAGTCTATCACCCTTAAATCATTTGAATTAAATTGAAATCAAGAAGCAGTCCAGAACATGTCAGCAGTGAACAAAATTTCAATATAGTATATTTACCATTTAATGACTCAGGCAGAGCAAGGATGGATGACCCCTGGTCTCAGTTAGCTGATGGCTGAACCCCATGACACTGACTGACCTCGGGCTGCAAGGCCCAGATTGAGTTCCCCAACCTTCTGAATGGCTGCACTCCACAATGTTTTATTACAGGTTTCCCATGCCCTTTCTTTAAAGATGTTCAAAGTTGGGAACTCAAAAAAATACCCTTGATCACCACCTCTGCCACTGCAGAGTGGGTGCAAAGACTGACACAGGAGGTCTGAGAGTGTGTGTGTGGGGACTTATGGGGGTTTAGGAGCGCCCACACGGCTACCTCCCGGCGCTTGAGGGATGGCGGCTGGGTCAGGAGCAGGTGTGGCTCTCCTTCCCACGGTGGATCGGGGCCCAGGCTGCCTCCCGGCGCTTGAGCGATGGAGGCTGTGTCAGCAGCAGGCGTCTTTGTTTCTTATAGTTTATTGTGAGGTTAATTCAACCAATTTATTGACCTGTCATTAAATCTTTTGCAATATTTGTACTTTATGTCTGATCTTTTAAACTTTTTTCGTTAGACATAGGCCTTACTGTGTAGCTCATTGTAGCTCAGAGGCCTTGAACTCTCAGTGATCCTCCTGTCTCAGCAAGGTAGAGGATAGGATATTAGCCTTTATGACTCCTGACCAGGTCTTGTCTGTGAGGTAGCAGTGTATGTAATCTAACAAGTAAATCTATGGCCTAGATTGGGATATAGACTAAGTGACTGACGTTGGGCAGGTTAATTAAATCTAAGCTTATTTCCCCATTTTAAAAAATACTAAAAAATCATCTCATAAATTTTCATAAAGATAAGGATCCATCTTGTATATATGTATAAATGTTTGTGTGCCATTTAGTATAGCTGTTAAAGCAGTCAGCAGTACTCTGTTGTCTTTTGGCACTTCTCCATATCAAGGCAACATAACAATGAGAAATGTAGCTGTATATTAGAATAACAATTCCTAAACTTCCGAGTACATGAGAATAATCTGGAGGACTTGTTAAAGCATATTATTGTGCCCCGAGATGCTGACTAAGTAATGCTGGGGTACAGGTGGAGAAATTGCAGTTCTTACCGATTTCCAGGTTCTGTAGCTGCTAGAGTGGCAAACCAGGACTTTAGAATGACAAACCTCTACTTCCATCTAGTGGTTAAATTATGAGGTACAGCGAATACCTTTGTAACATGCTTGGCTTCAGTTAATCCTTGCTAATGTCCTATGGAAAAAAGTACTGTGTTCATTTTACAGATAATAAAACTGAGATGTGAAGAGAGATAACCTGTTAAAGTTTTGCAAATAGTGTATGGAGGACTTAATAATTGGACCCAAACTGTAAAAGCTGATGGACTCATGTTATCATACCCTGTCTGAACATATTTCCATACCATTCTTCCCCAGTAATGCCACTTCTGAGGAAATAGCCAGAAATGCTGACAAAGAAGAAAGCAGGTCTGTATCATGACATTATTTATGATAGCAAAAGTTCATAAGGAGCTGAGTCCATCACAGATGGATTGTTACTAGTGACCTACTTCAGAATATTCTACAGACAGTGAAATTTTTAAAAATATATTTAATTTTATAGAAATTTTTTATACAATGTAAAGAGAAAATAAAATACATTGCATCAAAGAATGACATGAAAAACACCTCTCCCCACCATGCATTCATGAGAAAAGACTAGGAAAATAGGCCAAAATGTTTTTGTTTTCCTTTGCTTTTAATATTTTACAAATATTCCACAGTATATGTTACATAATTGAAAATATTATTTAAAAATTTAATCAACTATGTTAATTTTTGAGAAATTCTAAAATTCTACCTATTGACATGTATATTTAAGGAGAAAGTAATGTTTTCTTAGCCTCTATTTTGTGAGCAGCGCAGTGCTAATTGTTATGAGGGTTATGTGTGAAGGGTGATTTTACTTCTAAGGAATTTTCCTATGGCTGTAGGCAAAACTCACATAGGGAAAAGTTAGTACCCGATGTCGGACAAATGGATGATTAAATATAGAAGATGTTCTGTGACCTTTTGGGGAAGCTGGGGACGTCAGGAATGGGATTATCTTGGAGAAGATATTAACTGAATAGGGTTCTCACAGATGAAAGTAGAACATTTGAGAACTACATGAACCAGGCCGACAGACAGAAGCACAGTGTAAATGTAGGACTAGAGGCAATATCAACCTGGTCCCCTCTTTTGGGTTCTCTATCAAGTCCCTTACTTATGTGCTTTACCCTGTCAAATTGGTGATGCTCAGTTTTTTTTTCTTTCCCTTCCTTAGTGAGTAGAAAGTAGTCTAACACTTTGCCACCACAAGCTTGATCCACCAGTTGGTTAAATTGTCATCATTGAAATGCTACACCATAGAGGGCCTTGATCCAGATCCAATTAATTAAAATATGCATTTTTACAGGATTCATATGTACATTAAAACTTGAGAAATGTGTGATGAGCAACACAGTCAGAAAGCAGCTTGGACCCTAGTTAAAGGACGCAGTTGCTGATTTGGTTTAACAGCTAAGGGATTGCTGAAGTCTTCCACAAACAAAATTTTCCTTTCCTAACTACTTCATGACTAGACTCATACATGGTGGGTTTCTAGGAGGACTACCTATTAGTCAACACTTGAAAAAAAATCTGCTTACCACACTTACCCATGGCACACACCTTCATTTTCCAGTGCAGAAAGGAGTGAGATACTGTTATTTGGGTAAAATTGGAGGCAGTTACTATAAGGCTCTGATGAAGTACAGAAATGGGAGGTGTGGGACGCTCAGCAGATGCAGTGGGGTGCTAAGAGCTGAAAGCAGCTTCAAGTATTTTACAATTTTGTCTGTCAAATTTTGTTAAGTAGTTTCTTCCTTGCTTCTTAGCAAGGTTTGTCTTCTGCTGCTAGGGAATTTTGCTTGTTACTAGCAGAACTGTGTTTCTAAATCAAACTGTCTATAGATTGAAAGTGAGAGAAAATGGTTCCATGGCTGTGACTGGAATTGGGTGAGGTGGAGAGGCAACAAAGAGCAGGAGAACAAAATCAAATGCTACATAGATACCATTTTGTGAAACAGTGATAATTTGTTTTCTATCAAGTTCAGTTTTCTTAGATTAGGTTGCATGTGGCCTGAGTCACAGCGAGACTGTTAAGGTTTTGTGGCGGGACAGATCAGTTGATTTTAAGTCCAACATTTCTTGTTCCCTTTGTGATTCTTAGAAATGAAGCTTGGTTTCCTTAATGCCATGACTGAAGGAAACTAGGATCAATGAAGGAAGAGGAAACAAATGGACAGACACAGGTGTCAAGTAAGTAATAAAAGTAAGAAGGACTCTGATGTGACTGAATAAAGTGAAGCATGTGACTGTATGTTTAGGTGTTCCAAAAAGCCAGAAGATTCTCCATATTGGTGATTGTAGATTAATCCTCAGAAGTTTGACTGTACCCTACACCTCTTCCTCCTACTTTGCCTCCTCTGTCAGAGAAAGTGCAAGTTCTCCAGAGCAGCTTCCATGCCTTCAAAGGCACTGGTTACAGACTCTGATGGGAAAGGTTAGAATGCGGGTGTGGATTAGCCTTGCTGGATTATCTTGTGTGTTGGAATCCTCATATATTATACTCTTCTTTATTTCCTTTATCAACTAAAGATTATGACCAGTCATTTTTTAATCTGTCAGATACAGGAACTTGATACAAAAGTGAAGCAGCCATGTGTGTCTGTGTGTACTTCAAAGACTGAATCTATAGCCAGGGCATGGAGTAATAGGGCCCTTTAGTGGGAGGAGCTCAGATCTCTGTCCAGGATTGAAGGAGACTTCTGTGCTCCTGAGATGAAGAACCATTTTCTGCAAAGATCTCTCTCTCTCTCTCTCTCTCTCTCTCTCTCTCTCTCTC